AGATATATATGTAATAACTCAAAATATGGTCTCTCTCCTGTTTTTTTGTTTTTGCACATTATGAATATTAATGTTAAGTAAACTTCCAGTGTGCATAGTGAAAATCCTCTGTTCTTTAGTAAATCAACCATAATCAGTCAGCTAACAAATTAAAACAATGTAGTTTCTATGTGTCTCTAATATCATAAACGTTGTCAAGCAGATAAGCATAGCTTCTTCAGTTGGTAATCTGCCGAACCCCTAATGGCTATTCTACAAATTTCTCTTTTTAAAGCAAAAAAAAATATGGAAGTAAAAATATGAAAGTATAATTAAAATGAATTTGAAATACATACAAGAAAGTAAATCATTTTATACACCTCTAATTATTGTGCTGCAAATTAAGCTTTTTTTGTCTGGATGGATATAGATACATACATTTTTTTTCTGGATTTGTCTGCACTGATTTGTGACATTTTCAGAAAATGCTGTTTTTTGGGGTTTTTTTTTTAATAAAAAAATGTGGGATAACTGGGATTGAAAAAGTATAAACATGTTCCTTATGTCCCATAACACATCATTAATTCTACAGCCCATTCAAGGCTGCTCCAACTGTGAATAAAGTTCCTTTTCTTTCTTTAAGACAACTGAATGGTAGTTTAAGAGAACAAAAACATTTTCTCTGTCATCTCCTAACTGTAAGATTGCTGTTATAGTAGTACATCTCCAGTGGAGACCAGGGAAGCCAAAATTCAATACTATTATTGTCGAGCCTTAGTCAGATGCACGTTACAAAATAGAAGGCTTAGAAACAATTTGTCTGTTACTTATTTTGTCTTTTAACTGCACCTATATCTTTCGGTTTATAATAGTGAGTTTGTTTAAACAAAATATCTAACTAGCAATTACTTGACAGGCATGACAGTATACATACAGATCAGGGGCGGACTGACCATTCGAGCACTCGGGCACTGTCTGAGGGCCCGGGGTCAGTAGAGGGCCCCATGAGATGCCCCTGATACCTTTCATAGGCTTTTTTGGGTGTGGTTTGAGTGCTGGTGAGGACACAGGGGCCCCATGATTTCCTATTGCCCGGGGGCCCCATGAGTTGTCAATCTGCCCCTGATACAGATCAAATAGCAGGTGAAGAACTAAATGAATTAATATGATAGGAATCCAAATAGTTATGTTTTGTGCCAATTCTAGTTACAATACTCAGAATGGGCAGGAGAGAAAAATTTGGGGACATGTATAGAAAATTAGCTAAATAATTAGTTGCAAATCAGGCTGAGTCTCTTTCATCAAAAGCTCTGCAACACGTTTACAGACCTGTGTATCTGTATTCCTCTGCAGCCACTTGCAACAGTTTGTAAAGTTACAAAAACAGATTTGTTACTGAAGATGAGACAGATTTGACTTTAAACACTCAAAATTAAAGAGTTGTCCGCTTCAGGTTTTATTCAGTAGCAGTAAAAGGAGGAATTTACTCAGGCTGTAACCTTGTAATAAATATGACTCATGATGTGTCTCAATGCGCCTGTTTAGTATTGCTTTGCCTTGATTGATTGTTTGATTGATAAATGTCCTCCGGTATGATCTGGGCCTTTCAGAATTAACCTTTTCCTGCAGCCATAATGCCAGATCCCTTTTTCCTGAATTGACAAAGTAACTGGGTAGGTTAGATTTGAGGTCCATTTTAAGAAAGACAAACCTAAGAAAGTATGTGAGTATAACAACGACCACAGGTATTGAGCACTTCAGTTCTTGATAAAAAACAAGCTTATATTTTCATACATTTCTTCAGTGCCAATAATAGTCCTTCCACCATCCACCAGTGCAAAACCAACATGAACCGCACTCACCAGATGTTTGGTGAGTATAACGCCTTTCAGGATTATTAAGGGCTCCTGGACCCCCTTTTTTAGCCTCCAGATATTGCCTCCTCTAGAACATAGAAAACCTCCTCGGATTCCTCCCCTCACCGACTCCACCAAAATTCAGGAAGAAAAAAACCAAATAGCGTGATACCGTTTATGACTTTCAATCCCAATAACCTTTAAAGCAGACCACTCACATTTCTAAGGATAATAACCAGCATTTTATTGTTGTAATAACGATTTTCCATAGATCTTCCAGTATGACCCCACAGCCAGGTACCCCGGCAGGATGACAGACCTCAGAAGCAGCTTCCTCCTCTAGGCAAGATGGCCCCTGGAACGCAGCGCTCAGCGTGCGTTCCACTTCACCGGAAATGACGTCGGACGCCGGGACGGCCAGCCGGAAATACGTCAACACGTTTCGCCCCACCCACAGGGCGTTCTCAAGACGCTCTTTACCTTTGCTAGGCCGCTTTTAAAGCAATGGGAGATCCCTCCCCCTCATTACCCTGGAAACCAAAAAACACTGCCTACCTCTATAGCCTGTCATCCCCCTGTATACGCACCGTGAGGTCCCTTCACAATTAAGCAAACCAACAATTCAATCAAACCTACCCAAATCATATAAAAACATATTTCTTATATATTCTCCCTATAATTAGTTACGAATACCAACTTTAATTTATTTCATCCAATACATAATAATTAATTTAAATAAATAATAAAAAAATATATATATTTATTTTTATTTTAATTTAATTTTAATTTAATTTTAATTTTAATTTTAATTTTATTTTTTTTTTTTTTTTTTTTTATTTTATTTTTTATTTTTATTTTTATTTTAATTTTATTTTATTTTTATTTTATTTATTTTTTTATTTATTTTTATTATTATTTATTTATTTTTATTTTTATTTTTATTTTTTGATTTATTTTATTTTATTTTTATTTTATTTTTTTTATTTTTTTTATTTTTTATTATTATTTATTTTTATTATTTATATTTATTTTTTTTATTTTATTTTTATTTTAATTTTATTTTATTTTTATTTTTTATTTTATTTTTTTTTTTTTATTTTATTTTTTATTTTTAATTTTATTTTTAATTTTATTTTTAATTTTATTTTTATTTTATTTTATTTTTATTATTATTTATTTTTATTTATTTTTATTTTTATTTTATTTTTATTTTTTTAACGCGGTGCGTTCCAGGGGCCATCTTGCCTAGAGGAGGAAGCTGCTTCTGAGGTCTGTCATCCTGCTGGGTTACCTGGCTGTGGGGTCTTACTGGAAGATCTATGGAAAATCGTTATTGCAACAATAAAATGCTGGTTATTATCCTTAGAAATGTGAGTGGTCTGGTTTAAAGGTTATTGGGATTGAAAGTCATAACGGTATCACGCTATTTGGTTTTTCTCTTCCTGAATTTTGGTGGAGTCGGTGAGGGGAGGAATCGGAGGAGGTTTTCTATGTTCTAGAGGAGGCAATATCTGGAGGCTAAAAAAGGGGGTCCAGGAGCCCTTAATAATCCTCAAAGGCGTTATACTCACCAAACATCTGGTGAGTGCGGTTCATGTTGGTTTTGCACTGGTGGATGGTGGAAGGACTATTATTGGCACTGAAGAAATGTATGAAAATATAAGCTTGTTTTTTATCACAGGATGTTTTTTTGGATATGTCACTGGACTTTTTTTTGTTTTTTGTATGTGCCACAAAATATTTTGTTTTTTTGACACTTATATATAAATTGTAGTAATTTGCATTAATATTGCTTATAGGTTGGGTATTTTATAGATTGCTTTCTGGTGTGTTTTGCGCTGTTTTTAGTTGAGAAAAATTTTTTTTTTGTTTTATACCTATGCACAGCAGCATCTCACGTGGTTAAGTGTGTGGGGAAGGAGGTCCTGGGCGCTGAGGTCTCTTTTTTATTGACTTCAGTTCTTGAAGCTGTTTTTTCTTTATGGAAATTAATACATTTAAATTATGACCAATTTGCCAATAATTTGTCATCACTGATGAACCAAGCTCCCCTGGATTCAGTTGGAATCTAAAACCCATTAAAAATCAGTGGGAGCCAAATCTGTCAAATCAAAAGTGCCCATTTTCTGTGTTAAAAGGCAAAGGGTTTTAAAAAAAATACCATGGAATGGGGGGTGCTTCCTTGGGGAACACATACCGATGCAGAAAATGTATTTTTAATTGCTGACACATGACATTTCCCTTTTGGCTTCAATAAAAAAGCACACAGACTCCTCAGAGGTCCCCCAAAAGAATTGGGAAACCTTCGCTTGTGTGAAATGCTAAATGTCATTTGCCGCGGCAATGTAAACTGTATATGTTTTTCTCTGTGACTTCTGTTGTAGCACAGCCTACAACAAAATTGAAAAGTGTTGTGCCCCCCACGAAGTGCATACCAGACCCTTTGAATTTCACAGAAAAAAAATAAAAAATAAATAACATGTGAGGTTCCCCAGGAAATCCATACCAGACCCATCTGCTTTTAAGTGAGATCCTCCCTCAAAAAAACAAAAAAGTATGAGGTCTTCCTAAAAATAAATACCAGGCCCTTAATCTGACAAAGCATGTTGTCCCCATACTGATAAGGACAAAAGCCACTTTCTCACAACCCTGGCTGGTGGTTGTGGATGTCTGCAATCGGAGGGCTTATCAGACTCTGGAAGCCCCTTTTAAAAATAAGGGGGATCCCCAATACCACCCCCCTCATGAATGTCTAAGGAGTACATTGTACCCCCTACTCATTCACAAGAAATGCAAATTAGAATAAATACACCCAAAGACTTTCCAATTGATGCTCATTTTTTTCCTTCACCTTTCTCTCCTGTACTAAAGACATTGACCTTTTTGTGACACTTCACTGGATTAGTCATCTTGACATATTTTATTGGTAAATATATCCTTCTTTGACCTCAATAGTAACCCTCTGTAGAGATTGAATTATACATATATGGCCAGTCTGACCAGACCACATTATGTGAGCAGTGTAAAATATACTTTTATATACAGTATATTATGTTCCTTTTTTTTCTCTTTTAATTTTTCAGAACACCCTTCTCTTACAGAAGCATTTCTGTGAAACATCTTGAGAGACTGAAACTTTTCCACAGCTTTTGATGTCTACTTTACTCTGTTGAAATATATAATGGGCATGTTAACCTTATATCTGGGCAGTAAAGCCTATGGTCTTTAGCTAAGTAGACAAATGTGATCAGAGGCGGACTGACAACTTGTGGGGCCCCCCGGGCAATAGGGAAACATGGGGCCCCTGTGTCCTTGCCAAACTCAAAAAAGCCTATGAAAAAGGTACCGGGGCATCTCATGGGGCTCCCTACTGACCCCGGGCCCTCGGGCAGTGCCCGAGTTTCCAAATTGTCAGTCCGACCCTGGGTTACCTATGCTGAGTAAAGATCCAAAAGATGCACTCAGATAGACTTCTACCCAAGGACGGCCGGAGAACTCATGGGGCCCCCCGGGCAATAGGGGATCATGGGGCCCCTGTGTCCTTGCCCACACTCAAACCACGCCCAAAAAAATCCTATATTATTTCAATAAATATATATATATGAATGTGCATTGTGTATGTGCAAAAGGCTTTGGTTGGGTCACAAATATAAGGGGTTCAATTGTTTCCACAATGCTCCTCAAAGTTCTCAGTCCTCATTCAAAGCGACAAATAGCCACAAAGCCAAACTCTCTAAACTCATATGTTATAGATTAAACTGATAAATATTCAAAGACACTGTACATGCACTTTTAAAATGTTCATTGTAACATGCAGGCTACATTTGCAGAACTGTTTAAGCTTCTGTCTAGTACATGCTGCTATTGCTTTCGCAGTGGGAAACCATAAAATAGCAAGGTGCTATGCTATACTATGTTATATGAACATGGAAGTGTGTATCGAGCCAAAAGGCTCATGGAATTGCTGAAGAAGAAACTGTCAGCAACTCGCAGTTTGGGACTTCAGCTTTCCTACTGAAAGCATTCAGGGCATTGAGGTATACTCTGGAGACCTAAATGAAGTTCTAAAGGGTGTACTAAGTACATCTTTGGTCAAAACGTCAGGTATATAAACACATGCACAATCCAGCTAATGAGGATCTTTCTTTTAGCAGGTTGCAGAAGACGTGCACAATTACACTGCACACAGCAGGCAATTTTGAGTGTCATCTTGGGAAATAAAACATTTGAACAATAATACATCAGCAAAAAGATCTCAGACTTTTTACCAGTTCAAGTGAGAAACTTGCTTAGGACTAAACACCCTAGGATATGGTAAAAAATTTAATATCAAAAAGAACCTTAGGGAATTAGATGGCAAAGCAGAGAAACTATAAATTGTAAAACCTTCAAGTTTCTAACACAATGCCACTTGATGTGAGCCATTTCTTAAAAACAACAGCAATTATGAAAAACTAATTTTTCTGCTTAATAAAAGCTACCTTTGTAAATAAAAATATAATAATAATAAAATATTGAAGTAATTCAATTAACACACACAATGTAAAATGGCTAAGGAACCTGTTGATGGCACGCTTGCTTTTTTGAAATTTAGGTTTTGAAGTAGAACCTACATTCTTAGCTCTCTAATGCAAATAGAAAACTTATTATTACTGTAAAAGGCATGACAGGATGAAAACCTCCCACAATCTTCCATGTTCAAGGATACATTGCTTCACTGCTAATTATCTTCATTTATAGCAGAACTTGTCTTCAATGTTCAACCATCTATCTTAAACTGCAGGTGCACAGCAGTCCATAAGACTTTTCTGCTTCTTAGATAGGAATGAAGTTAGGCAGTAGCAATAGGGACCTAACAAAAACCATTAGCCTTTGAATACAATTTCTAAATCAAGTCTTGCCTTCAAGAGTGAAACCCTTAATGTGCTTTTAATTGCTCTTCTTAAAATACACTTGGCTGCTGCATCATTTTAGCTTAAAAGGAAACGTAATAAAACCAACGTGCGTTATGCTAGATAATATGCACTTTTTTGCAGTTCATATAAAGAAGGTCAAATACATTATCCAGATAGGCTGTTTCTGTAACTTTATTTTACTTAACTTTTCTGGTGATGTTTGTCTTCTTAATTTAAAAGTTTGTATGATGAATAATGAATTATGCATGATCAAGAAATAAAGGATGCAACTCAATGCTTTACATAACAGCATGCTAGCCTTTTTTAAGTATGACGGAAAATGTTTAGAAAAGTATAAATATACCTACATATATCTACAAATTATGTTATGCTAAATGAATAAAAGTATTTGCTTTTGGTTAAAATTAAATTTTTGTTATACAGTATGTTCCTATATTTTCACATGGGATAAACAAACTGATCCCAAGGCATTTAACATAAGATTTAGTAGTGTTGCATATACAGTATTATCTTTATTTCTTATAGTCAGGACTTAAAAAAATAGAAAAAAATATTTTTTTGTTGTCAGGATGAGTGCAAATATTTTGCAGTATTTTCCATCTTGAAGTTGAAATGGGGGCCTTAAGCTTATACGTGTTAGTCTACTTACCATTTCTTTTAAAAAAAATCATTTTTTATCTTATATTTTATATTTAGCTATATTTTATATTTAGCTATGTAAATATTTTATATTTAGCTATGTAGCTCTAGCTGAGATTTAAACAGGGAATGTGTTAGAAAAGTAACTGAATCCTGAGCAGACGACACTGTTCAAACAAAGCCAACCTCATTTGTTAAAATCTTGAGTTTCCTGTTGTGGTTACCTGATTTTTGTCATTGCTAAACTGTCACAATAAAAACATAACTACTTTAAACTTTAAATACTTTGTAATTTCTGCTTTCACATTACTACTGCATATAGAAAAAATATCTTTGTTGTTTAAAGACCTTTTAATGGCTACATAGGTACATTGTGTCAGAAACAAAAAGATAATTGTTGGAATATTTTAAAAGGACCAAAGGTTTTAGTTTTCTTGGTATTATGACAGGATCTGGCCCCTAGGCTTTTCAAATACTTAACTGAACTAAAAAATAACAATTTAACAGTTCAATATACTGATTAGTATTATGCTTTGTGTATAAAGCAAACATATTTCATTTTTTTATATTGAAAGCATAACTGTATTCTAGCAAATAAAGTAAAAAGATGTTGATAAACGAGATCTTGACTTTCAAAACAACCATAATAATAAAGCAGTTCCTTAAAAAGAATGTTTGCAATCTTCCACCTGTTTTTCCAGGTGGTATATGCAACAACAAAATACCTTTTTCTTATATGTGTTACAACATACACGTTTTCCATATGCTCACTTCCATTCTGAAATTTTGTTGTTGAAGAACCATTTTGTGTATAATGTACTTTCTGCGTTTTTTTTGGGCAGGAAGCTCTAGTCCTCTTGTATTTATCTAATTTGCTAGTGCAGAAATATATTTTTTAGCCATATAAAACATACTATACAAAAGAAAATGTATTGAATTATGAAATGTTTATTTACAAGTTTAAGAATATACTTGCTCTGAATGAAACCAGACAAATCAATTGTACCGCTGAGACATTTGGAACTACAGTACATCTTTATACAATACATTCTGACAATCTCTGGTGAATATTTTCTTTGTAAATAATCTGTTTGAATATAAATTAGTTTGGCATCTGTGAGCTTATTTGTTGCTTATTAATGGGGAAAGATAAGAAACGTGTCTAACAATCACAAATATTGGTTATATTTTTTATTGTTTGTATCTTGCTGTATGGTTATAGAAAGCCAGTTCTGAGAAATTATAGAGACTGACCTCACCTTCTGAAAATAACTTTTCTCTGGCTGTCATGGTGCATCGATGATTTCAGTCCTTTCTGAATTACTGACATGGAACAGGTAAAAGCAAGAGTTTTTCATGAACAGACATGTATTTTTTTTGCCAGATACTGAGTTTCTCTGACGTTCTGTAGACATATAAGACCCACACACAAACTTGAGAACTTAATTTGAGCTCCTCTTTGACCAGATACATTATGCAAATTACATTTCCCTTACTGAGAGAAGGCTCATTATATTTAGAATATTTTTCATGAATCTGCAGTAAAACAAACAAGACTTGCCTTATGCTTAAAAAAAAAAAGAGAATCCATAAGAATTCCAACAAACTCTCCCTTATATGGCATACCTCATCCCTAGTAAACATAAAACCAAACTATTGAAAACAAAAGGGAGTTTTAAGTAGTCTGCATCATTTTTTCAAAAAGAAAACGCAATCAGTTTTTTTGCAGTATAGAGGAATTAGCTTAAAAAGGTAACAAAAACCTTAAAAGTGCTATATGTAAAACATACTTCATGAATTCAACATAGGGCTTGTGACAACATCTTCTATAGTAACAAGGACGTTGTTATGCTTGCAAAATAAATACACATTTATAAATGTACAACAAATGTATTAGACTCAAGATCCATTGACGTATTTTTGGACAATTTCTACAATAAACAAAATATGATTTAAAAAAAATTCTGTGGGTTCAGTATGAGGTCAAGCTGGTTGACTCAGCAGGTTGGGACTCTATGGTTGGGACCACCTGGTTCTGGAGGTCAATGGAAGCATCCAGAAGCAAGTAGGTGGAAGGGTGGAGACCTCAATCTGCATATTCATTGGAGTCTGAACAATCCCAGGATAAGAGGCCCTAGTAGTTTGGTAGCCTAGCCCATATTTATGAGAGAGCCATGCTAGTAGGGGGTCGGGGGAAGGTTGATTGCTGAGAGGTGGTGCTATGTGGCCTGGGAGGGAGCCCCAGAGGAGGGGGGTTCTGCTTCCAGGCTGAAGGCTGGAAGCAGAGGAAAAGCTGAGAGAGGCAGCTCCTTTGCCCTGTAGTCCATCGGGGAAGAACAGCCTGCATAGTTTGAAGAGGAACCAGCCCAGCTGGAAGGCCTGAAAGAAGTTCCATTCACAGCTCCAGGACAAGCACAGTGTTAATACCTCTACACCTCCAGGGCCTAGAAAGGAGAGGTCTGCTGGATGCAAATTCTGGCAAGTCTTCAGGGGACAGTTCAGAGCTTACCCAATCCCTTGTCCTGGGATCAGGCACTGTAGCCAGGTGGGCTTGTATTCTGTGCATCAAGGGGACCAAGAGCTCCTACACATTGTCATGTTACTAGAAATCCACTCAGAGGACACCAAGCTCATAGAAGGAGATTACTTTACTA